AATGTATTACCAGAATAACGACACATACTCTTTCACAGTATAAATTCCTTACTTGAACTCGTTATGTATTCATTACATATCAGGAGTTCATCATTGGATCAAATTTCATTTTGAGGAGATGAAATTCAAGGGTCTAACTTGGAAAAATATTGTTATCTTATAGGTCTAACTTTACTATAGGTGACATGCTATTTATTTTCGAATCATTGAAGTAGTTATTTCTATGAACTGTGTTTGCTATTGTACATCCTAACCAAGTACTCTTGGTTTTATGTGTAACCATATATTAGATATGTATATCTGATAGTGATGGCGTATATATGCTACAGCAATGCCCACGAAAGACGATTTTATTTGGAATCATATTCGAGATATGTAACTTTGAGTGGAAATTTGCTATAATACTGCTTGTTATCGAGCTGGCCGAGGTTGGAACTAGTTTGTGCTAGCCCACGTTCTTAACCATTATACCACGACGGGCTCGATGAAGACACAAAAAATTTGATAAACCATTCGCAATATTCGAACGAGCAATATTGTGATAGAAGGGTCTTTTTCCAAGAAAGAGCACGACTCTGTATTACAAAACTTACAATTCCGGCTTTGTTACAAAATGACGGATTTTAAGAAATCAAAGTTGTTTATTATTTATGTCATATTCATCAATGGATTCGAGTTTTTTCAACTCTGGGATTTGTTTGCGCCAAACTATGAATTTTACATAATCCCAGCAGACGACGGTGTATATCATATCGAGTTTTTTTTATTATTTCATAATAATTTTGTTGAAAACAAAACATAGAAGAGAGTCGTTAGGTTAACAATTCTCAAGTCAACGATATCAAATATTAAATATTAAGTGATTTCATTTTGCCTGATAATCAACTCTTAAGGATTATCAATTTTTATTATCTCTGAATGCTATTGAATTTTATAAAAATGTCTCTTTTATCAAACGGGAAGAAAACAGTTTTCAAAAATTAAATACTATTCAATTAATTTTCATCCATCTGTTAGTGATGATAACGATTTTCACGAAAATATAGATCAAACCCAAGTGAAATTCCTAGTGAAAATAGCTCTTCCTGGGTCGGGTATATTAAAGTTTGTAATACTGTCTTATAGACTTGTGTGATAAAAGATTCAAATGTGTGTTATCACTGTTAAAATATTATGAAAAATGTGACATTAATTGGATTCCTGTGGGCACTGAATTTTAAAAAGAACTAAATAGTAATTCACATCCGCAGAAAACTACTGTCAAAGGTTGAAAAGAAAATCCCTACTTGATTTATCAAAGTTAGCAGACACCTAAATTTTTTAGCCAATTCCTTACTAACCAAAATCTATTACTAATGCCAGTACCAATTTACAACTATATCTTGATTGAATCAGATCGAATATAAAAGCCAGTATTAAATTTACATTTTAATTAAAAGCATTAATTTTAATTAACTTCCCATAGGGTAAGTTAAAGCAATCGCAAAAAAACGAAAATGAAGTTGTTTACATATCTTTACGTTTCCAAGGTATCTAACCATTTAAGTAAACCTTAAAAAAACTGAGTGTGGGTGTGTGTTTGTATGTTTGGATACAATTTTTTGTTCACTAGTGCACGGATCAACCGACTTGAATAATTCCTATTCCTATTGATAGGGAGACGTACTGATTAGTTGTGGGCAATTCAGTTTTTCAGATAAGAATGTCTGATTTGAATGATTCAAAAAACATTTTACTTGTCTTAAAGAACTAAAGAATTGATTAAATTTTTGGAAAAGCACGTCCAGCCAAATGCTATTTGGCGGTCAAAAATGATCATTAGACAGATGCATATCAAATTATCAAATCTTTTATGGAGATTTTAATAAAAAGTTCGAATTTTGTTTATATTTCTGTGGGTTCCGTACCAAGATTTATAATGTAAAAAAAAACATTTTTTTAAAAGAGTCAAAAGTTTCAAAATTCACCAAAAACTTATTTTTCCACAGTTTTCAAAAAAATAATTAAAGTTTTTAAAAGTCTTAAATTATGGTATGGAAAGTTGCAAAAATTTGTCTTAAGGCACGATGCCATGCACCCCACTAGTGGATAGATGATTAACTATTAAGTCGTTATACCAGCATACCATTATTTTAACATAGCCTTTTGTACAACTGACAATTGCAAATTATCAAAATTGCTAATTATCCTAAACTAGAGAGTTGTAAATATATACTAAAAATCGTTTCATTCATATATTACTATTTGTGTTTGTTACGTCACACTGGCCTGCGGTCTACGTTATTGAAAAATGCGACATTACGCACTAATTTCGTGAATGTTGAGTATGTTATCAAGTTATGTCACATTCATTCCGACATAATATTCAACACACATTCCACTAATGTTATATCATATAGCACGTGGAATGAAGACATTGCACTGTTTATATTATATTTTTCGATATTCGATGCATATTTTGTGTTTACCAATTCCATATCACTGATCACTGATTGAAGAATTTTTAATTAGTATAAATTTTAATTATATAGCTTGTGTTTCTTTATTTCAATAAAGAAGATTAATATAACTCTTAATCAGTAAATAATTGCCAAAAAAGAACAAGATTAAAAACAAATTACTAAAAAATGCAAATACTCAATTAAAATGTATATTAATTAAAAATTCTTCAATCAGTGATCAGTGATATGGCATTGGTAAACACAAAATTATATAATTAAAACACATACTAATCGTATGTTCTAAACTCCGGTAGTACTTATTAAATCTAATTTGCTCTATTTCACGTATGTTTCATGTTCAACTTATTGTTAGAGCTTTGCTGAAATTTTGAACATTTTTCAGTTATTGTGGTTAATTTTTATTAATTTTGATATTTAATTTTGGAACCGTGACTAACATTTTTAGAACCGCAGACAAAAATAAAAACACAATTGTTTTTAAAAATCAAGACTTTTTGTTCAAACTATGAATTTAAAATTTTTGTAATGAGTCGACTTTGAAAGGACCTGCATTACAAAAAATATTAAAGTGTGTTAGCAAGTTTCATAAAAAATTGGCGCATTTACTAATCAGGATTGTAAAATGGTAATATACTTGATAATTTTATTACTGAAAATTTTTGAGTAAAAAATTAAAAATATAAACTAAATGGTTTAATTCCTCTGCCATATTGAGGTAGATTTTCTCACTTTTTCAAAATAATATTTTTATAAGAAAGTGTTTTGGTTTTATTTTGGTAATATATTTAGTTTCTGTTCTCTTTTTTTCTGTTTCCACACTCCTAAACAAAGATTTGATGATTGATTCAGTTCACGAATTGCATTGCGATGATTGTGATTGTTGCTACATTGGGGAAAGTTTCTCTCCAAAATATTTGTAACTTCAATAACCCTAAACATTTTAAAACCATGTTTTCTGAACACATCTTTTCCTTCAAGCACATTTGTAATACTAATCATTATAAAAAAAAATTGACCTTCAGAAGATTTACAAAATTTATTTTCAAATTTTTACATTCTGTCATTGTAAACAAACGTAGTTCATCTATTTTACTTTCCGATAGCTATCAAAACTTATTAAATTTCTATAAGGCCGATCTGTTTCCTTGAATAAATTTATATTTTATTTCTGTAAACTGTCTGTAAATATAACAAATAATATTAACACAACTTATATAAGAACAATTTGAAAGCATGTTTAATTATAATGTTCTTGAATCCTCGAATTTGATGCATATTTCATGTTTACTAATTCCTTACTTCTGATAAATGTTTAAAGAATTTTTAATACATATAATTTTCAATGAAGTACTTGCATTTTTTTGACTCAAAATATTTTCCAGTTCATTTTTAATCTTGATTTGTTTTGGTAATAATATCCTGATTAAAAGATTTATTAATCTTCGATTAAAATTAAAAATAACTGTTACGTAAATAACTTTATTAGATAAAACATAAAAAATAAATTCTGTGGAATAATAGAATGGTTAATAAAGTTCAATTTGAAAATATTTAATATTGGGCAAAAGGAAAAATATTAATGTTTTTTATAAACCATTGCATGTATAGTATCAAAACAACGTGGTGACGAATCATACTTTTAATCAATATTTCCTGTAATTTGTTTTGAAGAAATGATTATGTTTAAAAAATATTAATAAATAAATTATTAAAATATTACCGTCCGCATTAACAAAAAGCATGTTTTAATAGCATGCAATGATAAATAATGCTGCTATTTTAATAGAACGATACTTTACGAAGAGTAAAATAAAATGACAATCTTCCTACAAAACTAATTAAAAATTTACTTTTGCATGTATAAAAAGTGAACTTTTAATATTAGATATTAATATCATAGAAATGAATATTGTGTATCTCGCAATTTAAGTTATATTTGTATTTACTACGCTTTTTAATAGCTTTTGTTAAATTATAATTATGCTCTAAATGATTTGTTAAAAGTTGTTTGTAAAACTCCGGAATGCTGATTGACAAATGCATGTTTTTAGCCACGTGTATATATTTAAAATAGTCTTTGTTCTTATAATGAATAGCATATTAGGTGTCATCTTTTATTATGAAAATATGGATCAGATGCACAATGAAGATTGTTATGCAATAATAGCAATTATTTATTAATTTTGCGATATATGCGGAACGTGTTCATAGAAAGCTTATACACGATTGCTATTTCATATTGGGCTTTATTAGCTGCAAGACGTTTAAGTTATTCATAGTACATATTTTAATTGGTTCTTATTTGTATTAATTATTTAAAGTCTTGTATTTTGCTGGAATAATTTTTGTGAATAACATGCAAAATTGTGAGTTTGAGAAATCGGTTTGGAGACCTTGGTCTGGTAAAATATTTTTTTTGTTTTGTAATTGCAGTTATATTTTTTCTTCTGCTGAATTTTTATATTATTATTATTTAAGTAGTAATATTTAAACTTATGAAAATTTACATATGTATTCACAAAGTATTATTTTTTACAGTGCAGACCAAGCAGTTACCAACAACGAAGTGGCGTCGCGAGAGGCGTGCTCGTCTTTCCGGACCTCCTGCGCCGGCGGCGACTCCTTCGCCAACCACTTGGCACACCCCATCTCCGCAGAACCCTCATATTCAGCGTCCAGAACAGCAAGAACGATTTCCATTATCCCCAGGAGGCAAATCTCCATACGGCGATTATTCGGACCATAGTCGCGAACCTTCTGAACATCTAAGCGACGATTCATTATCGATGATGGACCGGGAATTGCTTCATCAAAAAAGCGACAGATCGCCTGAATGTGAAACAGTTCCAATCCCTGTGATAGCCGATCATCAGACGCATGGGAACGAGGACAATTCGCAGTACGCACGAATAAGTATTGTGAATATACGAGAGCATCCAGAATTAATTAGGCAGCATCCACAGCTTTTGAGAGAGCACCCTGAACTTCTAAGAGACTGCCCCGAACTTGTCAAGTTTTACCCTGAACTGATCAGGGAATATCCTGAACTCATTAGACATTATCCTGAATTGATTCGGGACTATCCAGAATTATTGAGAGAGCAGCCTGAATTAGTTAGACATTACCCAGAACTAATAAGGGAGCATCCGGATCTATTAAGATATTATCCTGAGTTATTACGACATTATCCTGAATTGATACGGGATAATCCTGAACTAATCAAACTTTATCCTGAATTAATAAGAGAGAATCCAGAACTGATAAAATATTACCCTGAATTAATTAGAGAATATCCAGAAATATTAAGTCGCTATCCTGATCTGATGCGGGAACATCCAGGTCTGGTACGCCATTATTCAGATATTATAAGAGAACATCCGGAATTGATAAGACACTATGCTGAATTAATTCGGGACCAGCCGGAACTGATCAAGCATTACCCCGAATTAGTAAAGGATAATCCTCAACTTTTGAAGTACTATCCTGAACTAATCCGGAGAAATCCGGAACTTATTAGGTATTATCCAGAACTGAGCAGACAGCATCCGGATACAATGCGAGAATATCCAGAAATTTCGAGGGAACAAACTGCTCTTTTACGTGACAATCCTGAATTAATGCGCGAGCATCCCATCGAACTCAGCAGACGCCAAGCGGAACGTGAAAGACAATTGTTTGAACGGGAACGATTTCGTTTACACGGGAGGCATTCGATAGATTTGGAAAGACATAGACTCGATGTGCCTGTGGATCAAATAGCTCGAGAACATGCTGAACTTGCGGCTCGGCACTCGGATTTGGCACGCGATCTGCAGGAGCGAGCACGTGTGCATCACGATTACATTCGCCTACCATCGACAGCAACGCATGATCAACTTTTGCTTGAATCGCAGTACGATAGACCATTTGCTGCTGCCGCCGCCGCTCATCGCTCGTATGTTTTACCGCCCGCCATAACATCGCCGCAACTTGAGTCCGAAACGCCTCTCGACATGACGGTGCCCCGTGTCAACCGCGGCTCTCCACCCTCTTACTCGCAAGCCGTTGCTAATAATGCACTCCATAGACCATCTGTCATCACACATTCCGCCACAAGTGAGTATTTATATTGAATTCAGTTGTATGTAGGAAACCCCCGTATAACACGGCAGTTGCATTCCAAAAAAACTAACGTGAAATGCGAATCCGTGTTGTACGAAACAAAGGACTAGTAGACTAGTACAAAAGTAGGCATTATACGAAAAGTAAGTAGCTGTTTCTAAATTTCATAAAAATATGCTATTACATTTCTATAATAAAGATAAATTTGTTTATTAATTTCTTTTTAAGAAGTAATACACAATAAGAGAATTAAAAAATAATTTCGCGAGCGTTTTCTTTTTGTCAAGATATTCTCATTCTCTGGGCTGTTTTTTGTGTTATCTTCAGATTCTTACTTGCTTTAACTTATGCAGAAAATTTGTTAAATTGCTTGATTGAGTGAAAAAAAAAATCTTTATAAACTTTATTATACGATGCAAAGCACTTATAAAGAATTTTGTGTTCATTTCATTTGAAGAATCTTCATTTATGAAATATGATTACTGTTCGGGTAAGGCTTAAATGTTATTTATCAGTTTTATTAAAACTTTGTTGTATTATAGGGTCATTATCAATGTGCGATCCAATAATCGAAGAACACTTCAGGCGTTCTTTGGGAAGCGATTACGAGCAATACCTGATGGGTCCACAAGCGGCACGTGGAAGTCAGCTGTCAAACAACGGCATGTCGTCATCCCATAGACCATCAGCCAGCAATCTGCAGCGCAGCAAAACCATATCCTCTTATCCATTAGGTAAGGTAAAATACTGCTCCGAGGCACCTCGTCGAAGTAGCGCATCGAGCGCCGTAGGTTCTCCTTCCCCAGCGCCTCCGCCGCATTACCCTGCAGGGGCGGCGACTGCCACCGCCGAAGAGAGACCCATGTCGGAGCCCGCAGATCCGAGACCTTCTCTTCTATTACGCGACTCATCTCTTTCAGTAGACGATCATTTCGCTAAAGCTCTCGGAGACACATGGCTCAAAATCAAAGAAGGTCAAGTTGTTCCGACCACCACTGCCGCAGGTTTGATTGCGCCAGCAGTTGATATTGCTGCTCATAAATGATGGTTTGTAGAAAGTTCTAAAGTGAACTTTGATTTGAACGGTAATATGTAGCATACTCGTATTTATGATATGTAATTATTCATTTTCGAATATCACACATTAAACATACATCGATAAAGTACTGAAAATCAAATTTGATCAAAACGTACGAAATTATAAATAAACACCTGGTTCGAATCAACTCAAATATGGTAATATTAAAGCTAAGACATAAAAAACCCATCGATGTATTTATTTAGTAAGTGAGATCAAAATTAATGATAAAAAATATTGAGTTTAACCAATATACTATACAAAGTAAAGATTGTAGAAATCATTAAACATGATTTAATTTTGGAGAGGTTTGAAAAATATTCTCAAATTAATTCACAATATACAATACAGTTACAATTTACAATAATAAATAATGAAACATTTCTGCATTACTAAAGCATATAAAACAGTATTCAGAATCTTGGGTCTGATATCGTGTTCATTTTATTTTATAAATGAATTCGCTCTTGCATTATAGACAAACACAATGACGCTATTGTATCGCGCAACTGTTCAGAAGTTGATTCGATTCAATTCGGATCATGCGAGTAACTCGAATGATTTGATTCAATTCGAATTATGCGAGTAACTTGAATGATTCGATTCAATTCGAATTATACGAGTAACTCGAACGATTCGATTCAATTCGAATTAAGCGTGTAACTCGAATGATTCGATTCAATTCGGATCATGCGAGTAACTCGAATGATTTGATTCAATTCGAATTATGCGAGTAACTTGTATGATTCGATTCAATTCGAATTATACGAGTAACTCGAACGATTCGATTCAATTCGAATTAAGCGTGTAACTCGAATGATTCGATTTAAGTCGAATTATGCGAGTAACTCGAATGACTCGATTGAATTCGGGTGGCTCGCATAATTTAATTAATTTTTTACATATTTACATTTATATTTTTTAAATTTTTATTTAAATTTATGTTCATACATATGTATCACAGTAAATATTTTTCGGCTTGATACGAGTTGATTCGAATCAAGTAAAATGTGATTACAATCTGGGTGACAGAATGATTCGAATCACTTGATTCGAGTTGGCATATATATATATATATATATATATATATATATAGCATGAAACAAGGAATCTACTTGTAATGTAAAACCAAAAAGTTTTTTTAACATTATTCTGTTCAATTTCAACGTCTATGTACGTTTCATCTTCAAGACGCCTGCCAAGAACATGATCTTGATTAGATGATAAACAAATCTAGTAAAGTATAATTAAAAATTAGTGAGTGAGTATAATATATAATAAAAAATATAAATGAATGCATTATATAACGAAAAGTTAGATATCAACTAGATATTTTTTAATAAACATGTCGAAGAGAGCGAGAATTGAGAAAATCAAATTATGTATGATTGATTATGTACTAACACTTCGTATATGACTAAAAACTTTTTTTTTATTAAAAGTTGTGTCAATTGGTATTTATTAACTTTTTTTTAAAAAAAATAACAATTTTGTACCTACGAAAATTAGTTTTTTGAGTTAATTCCATTCCATTCATTTATAATTTTAATTGTTGATATTCCACTCACTTAGAATTTTATTATTCATATCACAACCCACTAATTTTTATTTATACTTAACGATTACTTATTTGAAGCTCACAACACTACATTTAGAACTCCAAGAATCATCTATCTAATATATATGTATATGTATATATATATATATATATATATATATATATATATATATAAAATACCATGCCATGTTTTATTAAGAGGATATTTATAAAAAAAAAAATATTTTTTGTGTGTTATATATTTTGATATACAGGGATAGTGTAATAATGTAGTTTATAATAATCAATATGTTATATTTTTCATGACAAATATAAATGGGCCAGTGTAGCATTGTTGTAATATTAACAATGTTACGAGTGCATGATTATTACTGCACTGACATTTTTGAACAATCAGTAATGGTGTTGTTTGCTTTCTAAAAGCTTGCTATGTAATTTATAATACATTTCACCCAAAGTCTTCGTGCTTCCAAATTATGAATATTTTTATTTTATTTCATTTCATATGTTACGTCAGGATGGAGTAAAAAATTGCATACTCATTTAGTATTGTGCAATTTTTTATGTACATACTCATCCGACAAAAATATGCATCATGAAAAGAAATTGCATAATGATCGTACTGTCCCAATATTAAATATAAAAGCTCTGTATAATTATATATATATATATATATATATATATATATATATATATATATAAATGTGTGTGTGGGCGTGTGTGTGTATATATATGTGTCGTATATGCATGTGTGCCTATAGGCGTGCATATGCACATGTCAATAGTTATTCAAATATTAAGGTAAAGATATTATACATATTATTCATATAAATGTGATTTTTAATATATGAAAAAAACTAGAGTATTTGTAATAAAATTAATGATTTATTTAAGCTGTGTTGTAATACAAGAAGTAAAATTACACTTTATAGAATTTACTTCATTGTTATTTTTGCTCCACAGCAGTTAGAGATTTCCTATAATTATAGTTTAATTTTATTGTACTTAAAAAGTTTTTAATTGAAGGACTTTTGATGTGCCTTAAATTTGTATATTAAAATTTAAATTGTTCACCTAAATATATGTGTGATAAAATTGGGTAAATTATATGAAAATATTATGATAAAAAGATGATATTTTGTAGGATTTTTGAAATATAGATGACAGCAGATCTGAAAATGAAATGAATAAATATTTTATTTCAATTTATTGCTGAATCAAATAATTGCAGCTTAATTATGTTTTTGAATTACAAACGTTAACTTAAATCAAAATTTTTATATTTAATGTTAAATTTATCTTTTCTGAATGTTTATCTAATATATATATATATATATATATATATATATATATTATGTTTTGCAGTTAGATGTGATATCTTCATATTGAGTTAAACTTCAAAACAATATAGAAATTAAACGTCTTTATATAATTAATTTTTGGATGAAGCTGTTTGGTATCAATGTATATTTAGTTACATATACATCGAACAATTAAGTCCAATTTGTTATAATAATATGCAATTGGTATCGACAATTTATTTGAAACTTCAAAAAATGAAACCGGCAACTTCAAAATTCACATTAATACTCGGATATGTAATACTAAAATTTTAATTGATTATATATTTGATATATTAATTATTTTTAAAGTTCTATATATATTTTTAACTGGCCTGAAATGTCATATTGTGGTAAGGTTTTTTTCATATTAAGTGTAAAATATGCTCTGAATATGATGAGGATAGAAGTTTTTGTTTTGTTCTCATCAATTTTATTCTGACAAAACTGTGTTTTACCTTTGACTGTGTGATAAGAACTGAACAGAAAGACCTCATAATTATTGTTTGTTATAATGAAATAATTATTCTAAAAATGTGATGAAACCACAAATGTATGTTTTGTAAACGTTTAAAATGTTTATTATTCATATAAATAAATGTGTGTACTAATAATAATTGTGTTGTTAGATTATATAAAGGAATAAAATGATATTTTACTATGTATATTGAATATTTAATTTGGTTGAATTTAGTTATTATTTTTTAGATGTTGCATCTAAACCAGTATATTATATAGCTATATGATACTATGTCGTGTGTAGTGTGTGTGTGATATCCAAATAATAGATTAATTGAATAATTTACACAATTGGATTTGTACTAGCCATCAATTATACAATGATGTACATTTTCGATGTAGGAACCACTGACGATGCCAAACAAGTATGTAGGTTCTTTCTGCTTATCGAAGATATAATGTAATAGCATGAGTAATTCATTACAACTGCATAGTTTGTATTTTGACCGTTATATAGTAGTTTAAAATATTATTTTTTTCATATATATTTATTTACATATATTAACCCTCTAACCCGGAAGATTACTTTGGAGTAATCTTCATGTTTTGCTTTAATTTAAACCCTGTGACAACATAATCACATGCAAATAAGCATGAACTTGTCCCTCGTACTTTATTTGACATTTCTTCTTCAGACACCAACATCATTTGAAGTATAGTTTGGCTTCTATAGTCATAATAGTGTGAGCTTTCGAGAAGGAAGCATCAAATTTAGTGAAAAAAAAAATTGTGTTTTTTGTGCCACATATTTTTTGAACCAATCATTATTTCGACATCGGAATTTTTTTATTTTGTTGGTAAGTAATCCCCTTAGCAATTATTATATATTTTGTTGTGAAAAAAAATTTTTTTTCGGTATTTTGAAGGGAAAAACAGAGGTTACTTCAAAGTAATCTTGCCGGATTCAGTGATTTTTTTCCCCCAACGCGTTTTTACCGTTTATCGCACCTTTTCTTGTTTATCTCTCTTTTGTTACATGAAAAACGTGTTGGGGTCGATTTTTTTTAATTCAATAAGATGGTGCACCATTTGCGGCAGTATATGCCCAATAAGCCACACAAATGGGGCATGAAATTATTCGTTCTATGTGACTCATCTGGATTTGCTTATCGGTTCGAAGTTTACAATGGCGCTGGAGACAACAAACTCGTGGATGGCCATCCAAATCTTGGTGCTTCGGCGAATGTTGTCATGCGATTGTCTCAAACCATCCCGGATATGGCAAATCACATTGTATACTTCGACAACTTTTATACAAGTTTGCCTCTGTTGGTGTATTTGCGCGCTCGTGGAATTTTCAGTCTTGGTGCGATACGAGTGAACAGAGTGCCTGGTTGTGAGCTGAGTTTGGAAACAGCCATCAAAGATAAACCAAGAGGATATTCTGAGGAATATGTGATGGCGTTGATCTGACTACTGTATTGTGGAAAGACAACAAAGTCGTTCGTTTGGCATCGACGTATGTTGGTGTGAAACCATTTCAAACCAGTTTGACAAATCCAACCAAACAACCACGAAAAGCCAGCCGATTTGTTCGCAAGCAAGGCCGCATTGACATCGATTGCCCCGAAATCATTAGCGAATATAACAATGGGCGGCGTGGACTTGATGGATGGGCTTAACACGCCGCTATCATATTCGCGCAAAAACTCGTGATGCAGCAACTCGTTTGTTGTACCATTTTATTGACATGGCTGCCACCAACGCATACATACTCTATCGCCGAATACACCGAGAGAAAGTTTACGATTCGCCTGATGAGAATGACCCCAGCGAAAAATTGTTGACA